GCAATTTACACACAAGAGGAAACAGAATTTTTCTGTGCCTTTACCATAACATTTTATTGAGGTGATGGGACTCAAATATGCAAGTCTGTAAAGAAAAGCAGTTGCACATATAAAACTTCTTTAACACTCATAGAATACGATTTTCCTGGCTAGGATTTTCTCTTGTGCCTCTGCTGGAGTTTGTCTGCCAGGCTCTGTGAGGCAGGGTGTCATCTGACTCTTGACTGCTGTGTGGATGTTACCATTAAAAAAAAAAGTGATTAATGCTGATAATAGATGGTAGAATCAATTAGAGATAAGGTAGAAAGTACAAATAAGGTACCCTTTCTAAATGTCATGATTGCTAGGCACATGCTGAAATCCTTCCCAGTCTTTAAAAGAAAAAAAAAAAAAGGGTAGTCCAGTGTTATTAACAATACTGATTGGGATTCTGGAGGAACAGTGACAGTCTTAAAATTGTCATACATTATTTTGTTTTGAAAGAGAAGCAGCAGCACTGTGGCATGTTGATTTCTAATTGAATGCAGTACTTTTGCTAGGCTTGGGCAAAGCCCGTGCTGGTCCTCTGTGGAATAATGTAGTGATCTTGGGTCTAGATCCTTGTGAAAGGAATCATTATAATCAATACGGTAGTTACTATCTGGGAAGTTTGATGAGCAATGGAAAGGTTTGAATAGATGCATAGCTTAGGTCAAAGTTGAAGCAAAACAGCTGAGCAAACCAAGATGGAAGGCTCACAGTTCACAGTATCTGGAATCTCTAATAACCAAGAGTCTGTAGCCTGCATGATTATCAATCTAAAAATTCAGACATGTAGGATAGCATTCTGAAAATTAAAAAAGAGAACAAAGTCTGCTCTGTTGCCATCTGTTCCTCCTTGGACTGTGTTCTTGGTAACGAAAGGAGGGGTTACAAGCAACATTTGTGGCAATTAAGTTAAATATGAAGAGGAATAAAGATTGACAAATACGTGTGACTCTGGGGAAAACTTTTAATATTCTTCTCTGCCATTGTGTCTGTGAGATAATAATTCTCCTCAGAGAATGAGGTTTTTTTCGATGTCACTAATCTTTACAGAATGAAAAAGAATTTCCCTTTATCCCTGGTTTGCTTCTCATTTTAAAGACAGAGCAAATTATTGTTGGTTTTTTTATATTTAAAAAAATTTTAAAATCTTAGCACATAATTGATGGTGGGAGAGGTCATATAAAGTCAGATTCTAATCTTTAATACATGACACCCTTTGCTGTGTTTCTCAAACTAAAATTGTGGCTATTCATGCATGAACAATCACAATTTTTCAGATAGAGAACAATGTGCACAACGGTGCTGAAATTATCTCTGCTCTTGTCCATTACATTTACAGGGGTTTCTTTTATACAAAATTCTGTGCTGTTTTTGTTAGAAAACACTTACAAATCAAATACAAAATCACAGAACTGAAATACCTAGCTGATTCAAACAGTGGGGAATAAGGATGGTGATAGACTTCTCATAAACCCAGCATGCTGCTGCACCTTCTAAGCTCTGTCAAGACTAGAATAAAGGTTGTTTCTAAAATCTGTTAGCTAATACTTTTTTTGCCTACCTGCCACAGGATTCAACTTGCCTTGCTGATATATGAAAGTATAGCTGTCACTGTACACTAGAATTTTAAAATGTGTAAGTAAACTTGTCTAAATTTATTATTTTAAAACTTAGATGTAGTTGATGGAAAAGGGAAGCTTCCTTGTCACAACTGGTAGGGAAATTACTGACAACTAAAAGAACTCTTCCAGAAAAAAGAAAATTACATGTAGAATTGTGCATATGTGAGCTTAGAAAGTTCTTCCTTAGGGAAGGCACAGAATACATAAGTGTCGACTACTTCCGGAAAGGGCTTACTATATAGCTAAAGGATGTGAAGATTTAATGGCTGGAGTTCTCTTCTGGTGAAGCTTGAGACAGTCCCCAAGGAGAAATAAACAGTGCTGGTAAAATGATTTTGCTCTTGGTATAACATTGTCTACATTGTGTTTCTGTCAGCTCAGTTGTTTAAATTGTGGCTGTTTTTAAACACTCTTCATTGACAAAACTTTGTTATGAGCTGTATAAATGGAGTATTGCTGTTCTTGCATGTTAGCCCAAGTGGCAGGGGCTAATCTTACAGAAAGAGAGAAGACAGACCACAGCAATTGGGAATGATCTAAGATTCTCTACAAGAAGATAATAATTTCTTAGTTTAGTCAACAGTGAGGACTCACCAGACCCTTCTGGAGATAATTGAGAGTCCTGGGGGCATTTTTATCCTCCATTGAGCTGTAGAGGTAGATTGGCTGACAAGGGCCTTGGTTTTTTTTTTTGTTTTTTTTTATTTTTTTTCTCACCCAAACATATGAGACAACAAAGGCTAGTAAAGGAAAATCAGGAACAATAGGTGGAATAGGGAAACAGTAGGGAAGAAGGAAAACAAATAAGAAATCATTGAAACCAGATGGAATTGATCATGCTCAGATGTGGAGGAACCTCCTAGGGATCATGAGAAGGAACCAGCAATAAAATAGGTGTTTAAAAGAGGCATCCTGAAACTTGCAGATAAGAGGGCTAGAAATACAGCAAGAAATATAGAACATGATTAATTGCAGTGGAGTCCTTCTTCCACCAAATGAGTTGTTTAAATGTGCAGTGAACCCTCCATCAGCACTGGGGGGAAAAGATAAGTATATGTCCTTAAGAGCTCTTCCATCTGTGAACACAGAACCCAGAGAGGTATGGGACAGTTGGTGGTTATCTTGTGAGGACTTGCTGGTATAAACTTTAGGGTCTGTCACAGCCTTGATGACACAGTGGATTTGCTAATACCTTGCTAAAAGAGACAGGCAAACTGTAACCATTGAGTACCAAAATCCCCTCTATCTCAAGATCAAAGAAGCAACTCAAGCAAGTACAAAATACATTTGCTGTACTGGTGTGTCCATTCACCTTCTAAAAGCTAGGGAGTCTTGTTGGGATAGATATTTCAGGGACGAGACATGCTGGAGGCTGAGGCAAGCGGTAGATGTTGTTTCTCGTCTTGGGAATGAGGTGATAAAAAAGAATCATGGAGGAGAGATGATACACCTCTAAGACTGAGCAGGGATAATGTATTCAAGACAGCAGAGAAGTCATGAAAGAATGAATTTAGATTTCACCTTCTCCTTCTCCATTATTAAAGAGATAGTGAGCCCACATGGCAGAAAGTATAAAGAGGATGACTGCTTTTGGAAAAACAGCAAATCCCAGGAAACATGAAATGGTCAGTTTTTAGCGTTTTCTTGCCACATATTGTTATGGAGAACATTTGGAATCTATTAAGGAAAAATACTTTGAGTTCAGCATCTTGTTATGTAAAAATCAAGTGGAGTATATTGGGAAAGTAGGGGAAGATGAAAGGGAGCAAACCCAGTGAATCATATATAGCTTACAGTGTTGGATCCTCAGGTCACACAACCTTTTGCAGGTATGCATGAACTTGGATGCAATGTGGTGAGGAATTTATGTCTTGGGTAGGAGGAGAGCCAAACTTGTCCTGGAGCAAGGAAACCAGGACCTCTGACTGGAAAACATGCTTAATGCCATCCTATCCAGCTTGCGATAAAGACCAGTGTGTGATGCAAACCTCACATACTTCTTGGAGGAGGTTCTGTCACTGTGTAGTTCGCATTTAGCAACATTAAATGTATTCAACCCTTTTCCAGATTTCATATATTCATACATATTGGTGAAGGATTTTGAGGCTAGTAAATTGCACACAGATCTATAAGGGGAGAGAAAAAGCGCAGTCAGGTGGAAAGCAGGTGCACAAGGCATCAGCAATCTGATGTAACAGAGGAAAGTAAGTCTGGTTAAAGATCCCTTTTCAATTAAATTTGAAATGTTACATACCTTACTGTGGTATATTCCAAAGAGGTAAAGGTGGAATTTGTATTCAGAAAGACTTATTTTTTTGTAGAACTCTATGAAAGAGTGATGTGTGAAGAGGGTAAAAATGTGCAGCCTTTTAAAGCTTGCAAGGAATAGTTGGAGAAAAATTGAAGTAGTGGTAGCGAATAATGTTTGCTGTTGTTTAACTGTCATCAATAATTCCACGTAGAGAGTGGTCTTTCCAGGGTGTGATATCTTTAAAAGAAAAGCAAACCCTGAAGAAGGTTGCATGATATGATTTATAATATGCCTGATCATCAAGGCTTCCTTGGAATGATCACAGTAACATTTGGTATGTGTAGGTTCGAATCCTTCATTCAGGGTGTAGATAGTACAATGCATCATCAGACCTTCATTTACACTTCATTCTGATGAAGAAAATGCTGTGTGGTAGCATAGTCTGTTTGAAGGATGTTACTATATTGCATTTGAACTGCACTGTTCTACTTAACCATGTTTTCTGGGCAGGATGTCTTTTTTTGATGTACGTAATTGCACCTGAGTGATGTGCATGTATAATGACACCTTGGGGGTAGCAGTGTTTCCCAGCAGAGGCTCCCTCAGAGGATGGCTTGGCTTCTGCAATTTCTG